ACGGAATCACGAACTGATGGTGACCTGGCTTTGTTGCTACTGGACTTGTTAGTAATAATATTTTTTGTCCAACAGTGTAGATTTTTTAACTTCATCACTTACATTAGTATAAGTTGGCTTGTGTTACCTCATTATTAGTGTTAGCTACAGCAGGTTGTAACAAGGTTAAAGGCAATTCTAGTTCTGCTTTCAACCAGTAACAAGGAAGAGCAGAAGACTTAAATTCAAGGTGTGTGTGTGTGTGTGTGTGTGTGTGTGTGTGTGTGTGTGTGTGTGTGTGTGTGTGTGTGTGTGTGTGTGTGTGTGTGTGTGTGTGTGTGTGTGTGTGTGTGTGTGTGTGTGTGTGTGTGTGTGTGTGTGAGATCAATCAGGGATGATAGATCAAACACATCAAATTAGTCAGCATTTACATGAATATTTAGTTGAGCGTTGAGGTGAGGGGGGAAATGGTTCAACAAAGCCCCTGCTCTTCCAGCTCCACCTTTTAAACTTGTCAGCCATTTGTCTATTTTTGGTGCTCACATGAGTCTCAACAGGCCTGCGGTCTGAGTTAAGATCACTGTTACACCGCTGGGACAAAAAGAAGGGCCACAGATCGGCCCCCGGCCCTTCTTCCAGACATCTCCACATGGCTGCCATTTAATGCCACTCACACAAAGGAGGCACCATCACAGCTCCATTCATTAGAAAACCGGGTCTGACTTTTAAAAAAGAAACAAGGACGCAGACATCTGCTGAACTGCTGTGAGTCACAGCAGCCGATCATTCCCCAATAAACGATCCCGGAGTGCCCCAATAAACTGCCGCGGAGGAGCATGAAGAAACAGTATCTTTAAAAAACTTTCACCCCGACTTGATTTATCTCTGAGGACAACAGCAGTCGGAGAAGTGAAATGTGAGCCTACACTCTCTGCTCAGTTCGCTCAACTCCCCACCCCCCACCAGTCCCAACCACAACCCAGTTGCCCACCCACACAAACTCCAGCTCCGATTCCCTCCCTCTGCAGCACGGCTATGTCAGAGAAGCTCCTTTTTATAAATTGGGGGGGGGGGGCTAGCAGCTTTGCCGATGCCACCGTTTATTCCAGATCGAGTGTCTGAACTTTGATGTGGAGTGTTTGAAAGATGTGTTTGCCTTACATGAACACAAATCCTGCAGAACAATTATTGAAGTTTCACAACACAAAAGCCAAAACATAAATGTTTTATATATATTTAAACTGACACGCTAAGAAAGGCTGGATGAATTTAATAAAATGCAGTTTTGGGGGAAATTAACAGAGAAACCCTTTTCTTCTATTGGATTTCTAAATAAATGCATTGGATAAAAACTAAGAAAAACGAGTATTTAAATAAGTTCGTATCTTTTGTGACAGCTGCATGAACTACAAGCACAGAAACAAATTTTCAAACTAAATTTAAAGTTTCCACAACACCTCTGATCGTTTTCACTCTACTACCCATTTTTAAAGAACGTTGTCAAATTGGACCAGATGTTCACCAGATGTATGACCTTACAAACATCTGGTAGTAAAAGCTTTTCTCTGTTACAAATAACTTAGTCCAGAGTGAGACCGCGTTGCCGAGGAACGTTCCCTAAAACTGGCAACATTTACCTTTTATAAACAAGCAAAAGCAACAATTCAAACCTTCTCCCAACCGTAACCTTTACATAACCTTACATCAACACAAAGTTATGTTAGATTGTTTTTAATTATTTCAAAGACACTTTATATAAAATAAATTTAAAAAAATGAGTCATTGGGATTACGAGTAGTCTACACCCACCTAAAGGATTATCAGGAACACCACACTAATACGGTGTTTGACCCTCTTTCACCTTCAAAACTGCCTTAATTCTACGTAGCATTGATTCAACAAGGTGCTGAAAGCATTCTTTAGAAATGTTGGCCCATATTGATTGGATAGCATCTTGCAGTTGATGGAGATTTGCGGGATGCACATCCAGGGCACGAAGCTCCCGTTCCACCACATCCCAAAGATGCTCTATCGGGTTTAGATCTGGTGACCGCGGGGCCCGTTGTAGTACAATGAACTCATTGTCATGTTCAAAAAACCAGTTTGAAATGATTGGAGCTTTATGACATGGTGCATTATCCTGCTGGAAGTAGCCATCAGAGGATGGGTACATGGTGGTCATGAAGGGATGGACATGGTCAGAAACAATGCTCAGGTAGCCCGTGGCATTTAAACCACGCCCAATTGGTACTAAGGGGCCTAAAGTGTGCCAAGAAAACACCCCCCACACCATTACACTACCACCACCAGCCTGCACAGTGGTAACGAGGCATGATGGATCCATGTTGTGATTCTGTTTACGCCAAATTCTGACTCTACCATTTGACTCATCAGACCAGGCAACATTTTTCGAGTCTTCAACTGTCCCATTTTGGTGAGCTCGTGTAAACTGTAGCCTCTTTTTCCTATTTGTAGTGGAGACGAGTGGTACCCGGTGGGGTCTTCTGCTGTTGTAGCCCATCCGCCTCAAGGCTGTGCATGTTGTGGCTTCACAAATGCTTTGCTGCGTTTCTCGGTTGTAACGAATGGTTATTTCAGTCAAAGTTGCTCTTCTATCAGCTTGAATCAGTCGGCCCATTCTCCTCTGACCTCTAGCATCAACAAGGCATTTTCGTCCACAGGACTGCCGCATACTGGATGTTTTTCCCTTTTCACAACATTCTTTGTCAACCCTAGAAATGGGTGTGGGTGAAAATCCAGTAACTGCGTAGATTGTGAAATACTCAGACCCGCCCGTCTGGCACCAACAACCATGCCACGATCTAAATTGCTTAAATTATCTTTATTTCCCATTCTGACATTCAGTTTGGAGTTCAGGAGATTGCCTTGACCAGGACCCTAAATGCATTGAAGCAACTGCCATGTGATTGGTTGATTAGATAATTGCATTAAGGAGAAGTTGAACAGGTGTTCCTAATAATCCTTTAGGTGAGTGTATTTTTTTACCTTTTTGATTACCATCTGTTGCTGTAAGAACACCATAAAACAAGTTTCAGTGAATGTCTGTGTAAAAGTAAAAAACTTTTGAAAGCAAAAACTAGCATGCCAAAGTTCCATTATTGCTAGCGTGAATTAGCACCTCCAATTTAGAAAATTGTCCACTTTTTCATTTGTTGTTTAGCAACAGTGCATTCACGGGCTGAAAAAAAACAAGCACAATCTGAGTTTTAGTTTGACGATCTTGCTGAATAATGGCTAATTTCAGTCAACAGATGACATTTTTTGTTGCATCTCTAAACAGGACAGATAAGCTAACAGCTAGTCTGAGTACAGAAACCAAAATCAAAGTATTCTGTTGTCTTAAAACAACTCCAACTTCCTAAATATTGCAGTGGTTCATGCAAACTTTGGTAGACATTTATGCCACAGTCTAATTGGCATCATACGATTATTTCAACTGAATTAATCTATTGAGGAAATTCTTACAAGATTTAAACCAATGTGCGGTTTTAAAATAAGCAGTAAAATGTTTCAATTTCTATTGACTGCTATGTCCTTTTAAGATGGCAGCAATCCACTTTGGTCTTGATAGCAATTTGATGAGCTGTTAGCTCATCAATACTGAAAGATGTCAAAGCCGGTATATCAAAAACACCCCAACCAGGAAGCTAGCTACAACATGGCAAGATGGTAACCATTTACAATTTTTGCACAGAATCACTAGCCAAGTGAATTGGACCAAACTCTTGTTTTGCAAAGTTTGGTCTAGGAACCTCCACAGCCCCCTAGCAGCATTTTGGTGGGCCAATAACAGCTCTCTATCAGCTTTGTGGGCCAACCAAGCCGCTCTATTGGTTTGGTGGGCGGTCTGTCTCGTTGACCAACCGTTGCAGTAGCACGTCATGTTGTTCGTTGTCCAGTAGCGTGCAGAGATCATTTGAAAGACAACAGTAGAACCCGCCTCACGACAGAGAGCCGTCAATGGAGCGTTACTAGACTAAATAACATATTTATTTAGTCTGGGTTGCCAGGCTACACAAACACACCAAAATGGCAGAAAATGTCTTCTACTTAGCAACAGGCTGAAACATTTACTCACTAGCTGCATGATTACTTTAGCTCGCTGGTGCTGAGAAGATCTGCTGGTTTGCTGATGAGTACAGCAGGACTGTCTTAGGCTGCTACAGTGGTCCATTGTTTCTACTGAAACTTGAGACCAAGAAAAGCAGCACCACATACATGCAGAGGAGAGGTCCCTCAAGACTTCTCTTGTTTGGAGACACCACCAGATTGAATAACCTACAATCCAACTTCTGCAATTGTCTCCTCCTGGGCACACTGACCACTATTGTGCACTGTAGCTGATTTGAAACGTATTGTCAGCATAATGAAGACTGAACAGAGAGCTTCAGCATGAGGGGAGAAGCTGTTCTGGTCACTTGTCTGCACCACAACAGTTAAATCTGTTTAGTCTTACAGAAGATGTCTGAAGTTAGTTTGAGTTTGTACTATTGCTCCTCTAGACTGCAACTGTTGGCGGCATTCGGGAGGGAGCCAGATTCTCGATTTCTTTGAGCGAGATCGTTCACGTTCCACTGGAATGTCCGTCGTGTGAATATAAAACTATTCTCTGTTTCGTTGTCATGAGTCACAACGTGCAGAATGTGCAAAAGCACTGTAGGGAGGAGTTGGTGAGTAAATTATGACAAAGAAAGTTAGCCTGACAGTAGCACAGCTGTCACGATTTCCTGTTGCAAAAGTGTCATATTTGCATAATTCCTCTCAATTTTGGGTCACTAATAGTTGCAGTCCAGTGAAGTACCAGTTCTAACCACTGATCTCTATGGATTGATGAAAGCAGAATGAAATTTAATTTTAAAATGACTCATTAAGGATCATTTACAACTAATTTCCAAGTTTTCCCCTCGGTTAGCTTATCCCATTGTCATTCCTTTAGCTGCAGACATTCCATGATTTCCAAGGACCGTATGAAACAAGAGGCTGGCTGCAAGCATACTTACTTGAGAAAGTATCTCTGGCCAGAACTGGTCTTGGCCATCTCCCACCCGGCGGGCAAAGGCACGTCATCAGGAATCTCGTATGAGGACTGCCGGAGATGCTGGGGAGAGGCACCTGCTGGGGCCAGTCCAGACAGGGATCCTGCAGAAACGGCTCCTAACTGCAGGGAGGCTGGAGACGAGTGGGCACGGACATGGTGGGGGATGAGCACCCCGCCACTCCCAGCATCTGTGCTGGCCTGTGAGAAAGGTAACGATAAAATTTCATCAAATTCCTTTTGAAATGCTGGCTAGTTATTTAAAATTTTTAGTAAATATTTATTAATGATAACTGCTGCTTTTCATATAACTGTGTAATCTCAAGTTCTGCAACAGCTTAACTTAAACTGTTAATGAATAATTACCCATTGTAGACAGTTGTCTGAGCAGCCCGTGTTTGGAGAAATAGTGTTTATATACCACAGGACTGAGCACAGCCAAACCAAGATGGACAACTTCCATAGTGATTCATGCAAAATTATTTTGAACATTTAAACACATTAAGTTTTATAATATACAATAGTAAAAACAGAATTTAGCAGCAGGAAATTTTTCATATTTCTGCCAAAATATCAATGCAAACTAAAAAAGTGTTTTAAAAGAGTCGAATCAATCTGAATTTGAACTTTCGTAAACCTTTATGCTGCTGTCTGTTTGACATTACATGGTAATTTGGACAAAAATATTAAAACATTTTTGCCAGTGAAAGTTCTGGGAGCATTATATTTAAAATCCCTTTACAATATGGTGTACTTTGTAAACAAATAGTTAATAAATGTGTAATTAATGAATATGGAACACTTTATAAAGTGTTCATTATTCAACATTGAGAAGGAGAGAACAGATTCGGCTCACTGTTTTGCAAGAAACTGATCAGTTTTACATAGGTAACACTTTAAAACAAGGGTCTCTTTATTAGCATTACTCTGTCAGTGCATTACTGAGCATTAATAAACAAAGTATCCCTTATTAATATTAGTGCATTAACAATGGACCCGTTCATTAACGTTTCTGATATTATTAACTGTCCTTAAGGTTAGGACAAAGGGCCGGGGGGGGGGGGGGGGGGGGTTGCTAGTAATGCATTACTTACTAACATTAATATAAAGCAGTTGTTAATACTTCATTTATTCATGCTTATTAATGCAATAAGAAGCATTAAAAAAGGGACCCTTATTGTAAAGTGTTACCATTACATATCTATACACTATTTATTTTGGACAAACTAATGCTCTGTGGAATTAAATCCCACTTTTCCAGAATGCACTGCAGAGTTAATAAGTCAGCTTTTTTATCTCCATTTCTGTAAACAGCCATTGTTGAATTGTTTATCATTTTAAAGGGGAAAATCCTCATTATTAATTTACTTTTCATTGTATTGGTGAATCAGTAAGCTTAACTGTAATATTTGAGTTGTTTATTTCTTTATTCGGAAGTGCAGCGAAGTCCTATCCCCTTCCTGGGCCCTCTGAGGAGATGAAAGGCCTGAGTGGGACAGGAGGGAGCTCAGACTTGCGCATGCGCACTCGTCATAAAACTTGAGTTTTGATAGGAGGAGGAGGAGGGGGGGGGGTACTTCACAGCACTGAACGTCCTTCGGAAAAAAAAACTTTTTAAAGTCACATGAGTTTGATTAATCGTCATTAAGATCGTTTGATTAATCGTGATTATGATCGTTACATTTCTGTAAACAATTACCCATAATTACAATTTTAAAACACGTATTTAAAGAAACTCCAAAGTTTACAGGAAACCACATTCTCCCAAGAAGTTTCCGCGGACCAGTTAGTTCACAAATTAAATCCAAACAACAAACTTTGTCATCAAACAACGATTTGTTTAAATAAAGGAGTAAAAAAAAAGTTTAAAAGCTGGAAAACGAGACGAAGAAGATGGATAATGAACAGAGTGGAGGAGAGAGACAGGATGGGCCCTGATTTAATGGAGATTTCTGAGAAGGAGCGATCAGGGTGGGCTTACTTGTCTGGAATGGGACTTGGGCTCTGGGGGGTTGAAGAAGGAGTCTGGAAGCTTCCTCTGCCTCATGGGCACAGAGTGGGGTATGTTGGCGCTGCTCGGGTTCATCACGATGTTAAAAAGCGTCTCCAGGTCCGTCTCGGAATCCCCCCGGACATGGACGATCTGGTGTCCGGCTGGAGGGTTGTGCTGGCTCGGATCCATTGTCCCAAAAACTGTTGCTTCAACTTATCAAGTATCTGGAAAAAAAAGTTGCGCTCAGAAATTTTCAACCAAAAGGGAAACTTGAGCCAATCCCAAAGTCTGGACGCGCAGCAGGAAATCTGGAAATCTCGACGCCGCTCAGCAAAACATTCTTTGATTCATTTAAAAAAAAGTTTTCTTTCTTTTTTAAAATTTCTTTTGAAGTTTGTTAGCTGTCAAAACCTGCAGTAAAAAGCTGCGTTTGTGTGTAGTTTCCAGTTGACATACTTCTAGAAAAGCGCATATCTACTCCACACTGGAATCTGTTGTCCCAACTCAACCCCCCTACAGGAAAAAGAAAAACCCGCAAAGTCAGCCGCAAAAAGGCGAAAAAAACAACAACATGAGCGCTCGGCCGGAAGAGTCCTGCGGCTCTAAGGTCGGACAGCTTTAAATCATGACCTTTCAGAGAAAATAGTCATGGTTAGTTGTGTAAATCTCCACTTCTCACTGGGAGGAGGAAAAAAAAGTTTCTTCTCGGTGCGTCTAAACTTTGGGCAGGACATCAAACTTTATTGCTCATGGGACGCCTTCCAGGGGCGGAGCTGATCCAGTTGGGACCGGAGACCTTAAAGATACAGGCACAACAGGCTGGGGCCTAAACTTCCAAAAATGATTCCCATTTGGAGCTACAGATAAAAGTGAGGACAATATTATGAAATTCGTGTTTTAAAAAATGTTTTAAAGGGACATTTTTTAAACATTTTTTTCTATTTAAAAGTTACAATCTTCCTTTATTATAGTTTTAAATTATCTCAAATGTAATGAAATAAAGATTTTGTTCAGAAAGACTGATGAGCTAACTGCTAGTCTAAGTGCAGAGATCAGAGTTCATTTCTGACATACCTTTGTAATATTATATTTATTCTGTTCCACCTAGACTAATTTGCATTTGTTTGCTTAAAGTTTTATTTTCAATTTCAGACATTTTCTATTTTTTATTTTCAGTTTTGAACCAATGAACATCCATACATGAGTTTTTTATTTTTTAATTTCTAAAGCCCAGGTAATCAGGTTTATTTTTAAATTGCCCGAAAAGAATTTCACTCTCAGGAGGCTAAAAAAGCTCCTGAAATATTAATGGTTTATGCAACATTATTTTACAACCTTTAGTCATAGTGTCAATTTCAATTTGTGCAAACATTTACTTGGAATCTTTGGTTATTTACTGTAAGCAGAAACACAAACAAAGCAAATCTTAATTTTTCTTAATAGACTAAAATTGACCATGAAATACAATGAATGATATATTCAAGGCTCTTTAATAATTTAGCATAAAATGATGTGACATTTTTAGAGAATGGAACAATTGAATCACAGCAATGTGCTCAAACTAGCCTTTTGCACACCAATCCAGAGAAAAATAAACACTTTTTCTCCAAATAGAGACCATTTAGGAGTATGCAGATCAGTTTGTTTTTACTCAAAATTACCATTTAAATAGCAGAATATTAATATAACAGGTGGATTTATTAATATTTTTAGCCAAAATAACTACATAATGACAGTGTAAAGACTCACATTGTTATTAAATTACCAAAGGAGATTCATTTAAAGTAAGTGAATTTGTTGTGTGAAAGAATAAAGTGAAACTGCTATAACACTTTAGATTGTTTTATTGCTCAGATCACATTTTAATACAATATAAAGAAAATGTGAAGCTAGATATTAACATTTTTATATGTGAAGAAATTTTCCCAAGAATCCCAGTAAATCTAAACCATTTTACCCCCTCATCAGTGTGTGCAATGGAGCTTTTTATTCTCTCACACTCTCTCTCTCTATTTCTTTTACAGTGCTCATGAAAAGTAAACCCATTCAGTTCCCACAATTGTTATGCTAATGAGACCCCTCTTCCATTGAGAAATCATTTTGTCAAGATCCTCCCTCTGTGAGAGCAGAGTCCCTGTTTCATCTTTTCCCATACATCCACTGAATAAATGATTATGAAGCCCTATTAAATACCAGCAGACACGCTAAAGCTCCATGCATTAAAGCATCCTCCCTGATCTCTGTGAAGTCGAGCTGAAAGTGCTATTTTAGATACAGAAACCAATATTTAAGATTGTAAACATATTTATACTTCCAGTAAAGGTGCTTTAAATAATTCTAAATACTATAATAAAGTAAAGGTTTAAATGCACCTCATGTTTGCAGCTATTTATTTTAGAAAATATTTTGTGACAACTATGTCTTCAGTCAGTTGAAGCTGACCAAAGGAGATGAACTGCAGAGGTGATGAAGCTGCAAAGAGACCACCCACTTGGAGGAGTTGGTCCACTTCTGGTCCACATGTCTTCATCCGGGTCTTCTGCAACAGGATATAATTTCTGTTTGTTTCATTCACCACAATCATCCTATTCCCCAGAGAGGTAAATGTGTCCGTTACTGTCCAGCTCCTTTAAAAACAGTTGGTGTCATGTTTTAATTTAATGTAGGGAACGAGCTGCTACAGATACAACAGATGTGATCTTTACTGCCCCCTGCTGTGTGGATGGAGAATTACATCAGATAAGTATTCATGTTTGTGACGTCAGGCTCACTTCCTGCTCCAGATAAATCTGTAACGTACACGATTTTTTTAAAATTTACACATTTTCAGAAAGTTTTTTTAAAAACATGATAAAATGTTATTATCATTTTATAATTGTTGTTCATGCTACTCAATTTTCTATTTTTTATTTGTTGTTCTGATTGTTGAATGTTGTGCATTTACCAAGCCCCCACAATGCGGCTCAAAAATTGAGCCCAACCCGGAAGTACCCAAAATTGCAGTTCCACCCTCATCCGCTGGGGGCTGGTGTCAGAAGCGAGCAAATCCTCATTGACTCTCATGTTAAAAATACCAATTTCACAGCAGAAATAAACATGTTTACAGCCTGGTACCAAAACATGTTTTTGGTTTAAATGATCTAGTTTACACTCATGACAACTCTGAGGGGGGTGAATTTTTTTCTCACTCTTCTGTTTAAGTGTATTAAAAGCCTACAATTCTGTATAATTAATGAGCATCAGACCCACGTGACCACAGAGCTAGCTCCGGGGAAAGGCCTCAGTAGAGCCTCGGTCTGGCTTGGAAACTGTTCCGGGATTTTGAGTTTATGTGTGTGTGTGTATTCTTTTTTGGATATCATTTGTGCAATTGTTGGACAAAATGACTTGCTGTGGCATTAATTGCACTAATAGAGCGTCCAAGGAGTCTCACATCATTTTTTTCGGAAAGTAAAATTATATTTATGTATTTTAGGTCACTGCCGAGCTGAGCTTAGATTTTAACATGTACTGTTTAACCATGAAAATTAAATGTAATAGGGTAAAACCCAGTGCATTTAACATATTGCTGCACTTTAGAAAATGGGTTGAAATATAACATGTTGGTGGAGCTGGGTTCCGACTATCGGCTTGTGGAGCTCCCGGGAGACCGATGTTTTCCACCCGTTTCTCCCCTCCCCGCAGCTCGGGGCATCTCTGTCTGATCGCGGCTTCTGTCTGCTGCATGGGCTGCCGGCTTTCAGCAGCTTTCGGGAGACCTCTGTTTTCCACCTGGTTTTACCCAGCGGTCAGCCCGGCGTATCTCTGACTCAGAAGCTCTGGTGTTGTGCACAGTTAACTCCGGTTGTAGCTAGGTTGCTACCTCCGTTAGCTTAGCTCCCACCTCCGCGTTAGCTTTGGGTTAGCTTGTAGCTAGTTCGACCGGGTGTCATCAGTTGATCCCAGCCTTACAGCCCCACCCTCAGCTCCACCTCTCTTCCCTTTAGTGGAATTGTCTGGGCTTGACGGAACCTCTGACATGGTCAAAATGGCGGTGGTGGCCACCTCCCATTTTAGCTCAAAAATGTGTAATTGGAGTCTATGGAAACCCATTGTCCAATATTTATATATCGATGGCATTCACATGTACTTTTGTTATTATATTTCTTCTACCTCTTTTCTAAGAGTATGTTCTGCACGAGGGAATTTTCCCACTGTGGGATTAATAAACTATTTTATTCTACTAAAAGAATGATAATAATAAATCACTTGTTTAGAAAATAAAAGCCTAAACATAGGCTTCATTTTCCAGTTGAAAAAGTAGTTTTTTTTAATTGCAGCAAAAAAGGACACATTTTTTGCTTTCTGTGTTAACCATTGAGATCATATTATTCTGTCTCTTTACCCAAACGTCTCAGTGCAATTTAATAGGCAGTGGTGAGATTTTAACCAATTCAGGTGCTCATTCCTACACCCAAAATAGAGATTTTTACATCAGATGTGACATTTTCATGTTGCTGTTTATTTTTTCTGCGAGAGAATCGTTTACATTTAAAGTATTTAATTATGTCAGGTTACCAGTTTTAACACCATGTTAAGATTTTAACATCCTTTCAGATGCATTCAGAACCTGGTAAAACGGTAACTCTTCTTAGTTGATAATTAATTAAACAAATTAGACATATATGGTGCAATTTTCACATCCCACAATTTAACCCTTGCTTCTGTTTATTTTGTATAAATATGCAAAAATGTTCTGTTTTATTTGCTTTGAAACGCCTACACAACTGTTCTCAAACTGAAGCTAACATGCTGTCTTCACTCGGGTTTCCTGTAGGAGATATCAAAGGGATCTTCCTGGAAAAAGCAAAAAATGTAAAAGTATATATTTCCACAGGCTTCATTTAGAAAATACCAAACCTGCCGCTGCTCTGTGTGTTCAGCAGATTGCAACAAAGAACAAAACTGTGAGATTACCCTTTTACAACAAACCGCAGCACAGGCTTGAACTTGTAACAGTGAAAATCTTTTCCTGTATTTCAGCACTTTTGCTCTTTCTTGTTGAGTTTAGGAGTTGTGCTGGTTTAGAGATTAAATCTCATTACAGGCCACTCAATTTAAAATCAAATAAATAATCAAAGTCCATTCTGATAAGTATAAAATAGGTGATGTAATTCCTCGGTAAAAAACAAAATGTCTACTCTAATACTGTCTTTTTCACTAAAAAGAAACAAGTTTATTCTAAAATTTAAAGTAAGGAAAACAATAATTAGGATAATGCTTCATTTCTGATTTACTGAATGCATCTTTGTCCCACCAACACCTGGATATGTTACATTTCATTTAATCGACTATCTTTCCTCAAAAGGAGTCAGCTGGTGCAGGCATCACCTTACGGAAGAGAAATCACCTCTTTGTGGTTGTTCTGTGTGTCGGTTTAAAATAAAAGGGGAGTATGCATGACTTTATATGGCAGTGATATTTAATTGTCACACCATTATTCATAATTTCCTCCTGCAGTCAAACCAAAAAAAAAAAAAAGGTTCCTCTGCAGTTAAAGGAGCTTCTTGCACTTCTTGGAGCATGTCCCAGCAGGCTCAGCGAGGGGCAAAACCAGACATGCTGTGGAAGGAGGGGCAAATGAACTCGCCTTTACCCCCTGATGCACCCATTGTTTGGTGATGGAGACACAGAAGCTTTAAAAGATAAAATAAACCACCTATAAACCACCTAGAATTAAAGACAATGTGCA